GGTTGGTTGGTGGGTGGGTTGGTTGGCTTGGGGTCTGGAGCTTCGGACCTACAGGGATTGGTGCATTTCCGACCTGTCGAGAACGCTTGGAAGTGGAACCTGTTAATTGTGGGTGCGAAGGCAGGAGATTCTTGAGCTTCAGGATGGTGCGTAGGGTTGCGAGATGTTTGTTCTGGACAGACTATGACGTCCTGTACTACCCCATTGAGCCTACAACCGACCATAAACACGACCAAGCTTCCGCCACTGGTCTTGGAGGGCATGTGCCATCGGTGGTTGAACCTACGCACGGCGGTCGGGAAATCCAAGTTAGGGGCCTTGAGAATCCGCCAAGGTGTTTCGACTTACTCACCTCCCCTCGTGCGTTTTCGATACGATCTAGCCACCGAGCCACCACCATCTGCAAAATCTAGATTTTGCATCGGACCCGCCCCCCCCCCCCCCCCCCCAAACTAGACAGCGATGAAAGATCAGGATGCAAATTCTGATCGCTTACCTATGACATTGGGGTTCATTTTGGGCTTTTTCGAGGGTCCGGGGGTGGTTACAGTCTTGCCATAGGCTTTTGAGGGGTGGGTTTAGTCCACTGGTTGGTTGGGTGGTTGCTTGTTGCTTGCTTGGTTGCTTGGTACGTCGGTTGCTCGGGAAATGATGTTGGGTTGGTTGGTCGGTGGGTTGTTGTTGGTGTTGCGATGGCTGTGGTTGTAGTAGCTGTGGGTTGTTGCCGCTGTTGGTGCATGACCGGCAGGCTGCTTACGATGGGTGAACAACCGGAGTAGGATAAAAAGGATAGGGTTTGGGGTCTTCTGAGAGTATAAACATATAGGGCCTACACAGGGATAGTATTGCTGCACTAATTATTCAAAGCTCTATATCATGTTTCCAAACCTTGGGCCCCGAATGGCGGACGAATCATGGCTTGAGGGTTTGTCTCGTTCCAGAGTTTACTGCGTGTTCGTCTCAAGGTGCCATGTAACTGTACTACAGAATATAGACTTAGTTTTGTGCTTTTGTGCTTAACGTTGAGGGTTTATGTTTTGATCCTGGCAAAAGGGTTCCTATACAGGGACGTTGCGGGCAAAGTATATATATATATATA